GCCGGCGGGGAGGGTGTTCCGGCGGCGGGCGGGCTCCGAAGAGGACGAGGAGGACCAGCAGGTCACCGAGGAGGTCCGGTGGGTGCGGAGCGAGAGAAGGAGGGTGCGTGTGTGGGGCCGTGTCAGTGGACTGTGGCACTGTCCTTTGCGGAGGCAGGGACGCCAAACCGGCGTTAAACCGAGCTGTGGGTTTGCTGCCAGCGCCGTCCTAGAGCTGTTTGACTCCAGATAAAGAGATGCCTCTGTGTCGGCCTCGCTTGCTAGTGACTCGCAGTGACCCACATAAAGTGAACAGGACGATTGACTCGTGTGCTTTTCCATTGTGCGGTAACTTTGCGCTCCCAATGTGATTGTTTCATATTTGACAACGCTGGAGCTGGCCGTGTATGCGTTGTCGCACATGCAGAGCCCCCCTGTGTGTGTGCACCACGGCACAGGTGGCTGGTGCTGCCTTAGTTGTGGGGGCACGTGCCCCCCCAGTGACTAGTTAGCGACTGGGGTTCCCCCTGCGGCCAGTTCTCCATGGCCGATCTCACTGACCAGGGTGGGGGTCCTCTGTGGCCAATCTTGCTAATTGCACCAACCAGGAGGTGGCTGTGGCGCTTCATCCGGTGCTTCCGCTGCCCACCCGTCACCAAAGCACGGAGTGCGGCATGTCAGGGGTGCACATTCACCTCCGTGCACCCCCTACGCATCGCCACTGTGCCGTGGGGTGTGCTGTATCAGAACAGTGTGAGCAATTTTCCATTTTTCCTGTGGAAAAGAGTCAGTGGTGTGCAGATGTAATCCTTTTACAGAGAAAAAGATGAGCGTAGAAGTGATAAGGGGCCACATGGGGGATCAGGAAGAGTTCTGTGGAATTACAGGAAATGTTTCTCCAAAAGGAACAAGGACTTTCAGTCCGTCCTTCCCATATCCTGTAAAGCCCCCATCATAATCCTAGAAACTTTAGTATCAAAATAAATACAACTTGTAGTATGCCACACAACAGAGGAGTGTGAGGGCTACACAGGGCAATATCCCCCCCCCTGTTCCTCCGCTTGATGTGGGAGCAGTCTGTGCGCTGGGGAGCGGGCGCAGAGGAGCCCCAACCAGCTCACAAAGGGAATATTCTTCCTTCAGGCTGAAGCTCGAGGAAGCGAAGGAAGTGCAGAGCCTGAGGAGACGGCCCAATGGGGTGAGGTGAGTGTCTCAGCAAACACGCCAGCTCACATTGGGTCAGAGACTCCCTTGTGGCTGTGCGTTGGCTGCCCTGTCGTCTGTACTCCCTGGCACTGAAGGACATTGCTGTGGCCCCAAGAACTGGGCCTGGGAGAGGAGAAGGCCCCTGAGTGGTGCAAAGACCTGTAAAAGTTGGTACTGTGCACAGCTGCAGTCATATGTAAACCGTGTTCGTGAACGCTGGTTCCAAGTAGAGCTGCAGCCCAAAACCATGAAGTGTTTGGGCCTACTTTAAAACTGAAAGACCTTAAAGTTAGTTAACGATGGGTGCATCTACTTGAGATGCTTAATGCACATTGGACTAATTCTACTGCACATTATCGCACCATGCATAAAGTGTGCTAATGCAGAGTAGATTTAGTTTAATGCACCTTAACGTCACAAAAAGCGTTCATCTGGGCTAATGCACAATAGAGCTGATAATGGTGCATTAAGTTAGTACCTGTCATTACAGGTACTAAACTTAATGCACCGTAATTATGGTGCATTAATGAATGTAGGGATGCGCCCTCTCCCATGATTCTTCTGGTCAGATTTGTCTCTCAGAATTGTATCATATCACCATATGTTATGATGTGTGGATCAGTTTCTCATGTCTTAAACATCACTTTGTACCACGTGTAATAGATTCTAAACAGGGAATTGGAAAACTAGTCTTTAAAATGAGTCTCACTTGCTATCATCCATGTGATCTAAGGAAGGAGGCTTGTTAGGTTATGCCAGGGCACAGAGCAAACCTTGATTCTCAATGTTGAATTCTATTCCTCACGCTAACTCGCTTTGTGACATTTTATGTCAGTTAATCATGCTTTGCCTCAGTTTTTCTGTGTGGAAAATGGGGCTAAGAGCTCCCTAAATTGGATGGATGATATATGTTCTAAAATATTGAATATCAGCAAAACAGTTTGAGACCTTCAAGTAGATGTTGGAAAATACAAAAAAAAATTAATGTGGTATTTATAATGAATGATAATGCAAGAGCAGGGTTTTTTCACTCAGTGAATCTTAGTTTTCCTTTTTGTGTGCTTTGCTAGTGCTGTGGCCTTGCTTGTAGGGGAGAAATTACAAGAAGAGACAACATTGGTGGTGAGTTGTGAATACTTCTATGACCTTGCTGCTAATAAATACCTGTGGGAAAGCATCTGCTTTGTACAATAGATCATTTGGAAAACTTAGTTTTGGGTAGCAATTGGCCATCATAAAAGGCTAGTATGATATAGCAGCCTAACGGAGGGAATTTTAGGCATTTTTACCAGATGCTTAGAGAAGAGGGTTTTCTAGAAAGTAACTTTGGGGCTGGTATAGATTAAGGGACAAATTTCATGCCTTTGAATTGTTTCTGCTTTTTGTAGGATGATCCTTTTAAGATAAAGACAGGTGGGATGGTGGACATGAAAAAGCTGAAAGAACGAGGGAAAGACAGGTGAGTGTGTGAGAGGTCTGAAATGACTCTTCCTTTAATGTTAGAGAGTTGGCTGCGCACAGGACTCTTTCAGTATTGAAGAAGGAAGGTGAAGTGCTTCAAGCATTGTGTTTTGAAGAATTTAAATGAAGTCATTTGTCGGGTTGCTTAGACTATAGTCAGTGAATTATTTAATAACATAATATTCTTGTTAACATTTAGGATTAATGAAGAAGAAGATCTCAACCTGGGAACCTCTTTCTCAGCAGAAACCAACAGGAGGGATGAAGATGCTGACATGTAGGCATTTGCTGTGTTTATATATAGTGATTCACCATGAGGAATGAGGTGCCTTAAGGCTATTTTTGCCCTGGGAACTAAGTGTTTGTAGAATATTTTCCTGAATTACTGTGAAGTTTCTTCTTGGGTTTTTTTTTCCCACCCTGGGGAAACCAGCCTGAGGAGGAATGAACTTGTCATTAAAGTCTACACTTGCTGGCCAATCATGTGGTCCACTGGCATTGTGTATATTATGTAGTAGGAGGAACCATCCCTATCAATTGGGGGAAAAAACCTTGACATTGTAGGAAGAAACTGAGTATCTTTTGAACAAAGTAACCATTCTGATTTCCAGTACCTCCTTCTGGCTGAGGAGGATTTATCTGCATCTTCTTCCCAGCCACTGACACAGTGACACAGCTGTGGCCGGAGGTAATGGACGAGAGCATAAGAAATAAATGTAAGTTGCAGCTCTTTCTCTGATTGCTGTGGCACAGGATGAAGTACATTGAGACCGAGCTGAAGAAGCGGAAGGGAATTGTGGAAAGTGAGGAGCAGAAAGTGAAACTGAAGAATGCCGAGGACTCCCTGTACGAGCTGCCTGAGAACATCCGTGTTTCCTCAGCCAAGAAGACTGAAGAGATGCTGTCCAATCAAATGCTGAGTGGCATTCCTGAAGTGGATCTGGGCATTGAGTATGTAGTTCATACTTCCATTACTGACAGCCTGAATTCCCCTGGTGATTGGTGCACATTGGTTGGTAGGGCCCTGTGGGAGGATGCATGCATAAACTCAGCCTGTACTCTCTGGGCAAAGATATCCACTTTGTTCTGTTTTTGTACCCTGCCTGGCACAATGGAGTCCTAATCTATGACTAGAGCTCCCAGGCAATACCATAACACAGCTACTGATGATAGGAGACTTTGGTTTCTGAGTATGTCATACAGCACCTTCCCATAAGATTAATTTGTACCCAGCACTATGACAGGTGGATAGAATGGTCCTGTTCTGCCTGCAAGTAAAAAAAAAACAAGTCTCCGTTGCTTTTTCTCTGCAGCGCAAAAATAAAAAACATCATCTCGACTGAGGAGGCCAAGGCAAGGCTGTTGGCAGAGCAGCAAAACAAGAAGAAAGACAGTGAAACCTCCTTTGTTCCTACAAATATGGCTGTGAACTATGTCCAGCACAACAGATGTGAGTGTCGTATTGCTCTGGCTTGATATTTCCCAACCATCAGTAAAAACGAGTAGGACCTGTTACTTGTGGCTTAACTTTCCACACCCACACTCCCAGTTGACTGGGCTCTATTTATTGCTTGCTAGATTTCCCGTGTTAGGTGATATAATGAATGTATGGTAAAAAATTTTTGATCTTTCTGTGGCAGCAAAGGGTGGCTTATAGTTTAGAGATCTTCTGTAGGTCACTAAGCAGACAGACAGGTGAGATGGAAGCCACCCAGGAGAAGAGAATTCATTTCTCAATTGCTCTCATACTACAACCAGTTGAGACTAAAAGAAATGTGCACTCCTGTTGTATTTAGCCGCATCCAGGCAGCTGATTTCACTGGAGAAGAACTAGAAAAAATCTCAAGCTAGTAAAAGCTGAGGCATCTCGTCACGATGCATTCAGCCAACATCCATAGCAAGAAGTTATAGCACTGAACAGGATAACCATTCCTGCCTTCTGCTGTGTTTCTGCTGAAGGTTATTCATAAGAGGAAAGATGGGCATCTGTCTGAATAATACTACTCCATGTATACAGTAATTAATATTCTCCATTTGTTGTCTCCCTTTGTTTAGTTTATCATGAGGAGCTAAATGCACCTGTGAGAAGGAATAAAGAGGAACCAAAACCACGGCCGCTGAGAGTGGGCGATACAGAGAGGCCAGAACCTGAGCGTAAGTGCCAAATGGAAAGCATGGGCAATTTGCTGCAGATGCCCAATTTGTTTGTGGGTTTTGGATAGAAAAGTGATCTTTCTCCTCTAGCCCTCAGTTTTGGGGCACGGTGTCCTGAGCTGGTGGGGAAGTTGCATAGCATAGAGCGGTTTGTACTTGATCTCTCTGAGGAAGGTAATATCTCCATGAGGAAAGACATCTCTCCTGTGGTGTTTTCCCTTGTAGATGAAGGGTTGTAGAAAATGTCACATTCACACAATAGCTCCCACATACTGTGGTTGGATATACAAATACTAAGAATCTGTGCCTGGCAGATTTCTAAAGCTGAAGTAACAAGGGATGTTGGAAGTTGTGATTCGAGTGTGTTGGCAGTTGGAATATTAGGAGCCATTGGTCCGGTCTGAGGACCATATGTTCTTGCGGGAAAGCCATGAATAGCAAAGGTGCTATATGCTGCTTGGTCATAGTATTTTAAAAAGCAGTGTGAAAGGTGAAGGGAGAATATACTTCCCACACTATCCCCTTTATTAATTGAAAAGTTTTTCCCTCTCCTTAAAAGGTTCTCCTCCAAATCGCAAGCGTCCACCCAACGAAAAAGCAACAGATGATTATCACTATGAGAAATTCAAGAAGATGAACAGACGATATTAAGACCTGCTCTGCGGGGTACTGGGGACAGAACCTTTGGGTGGATCTTTTATTTTTTGTAACAAGAAGATATTGTGTAAATAACTTCTGAAGTGGGAGGGGGCATTTGCTACAGATCTCATGTATGCTACAAGACTTCTCTTGCAGTGCGCTTGTAGTGAATTAATCTGCACGGTGTTTGTGAACTCTCCTGTCAGTGATAACTTGTATAAAATGTATTTTCAGTTATAAAACTTCCTTTGTAAATACATTAGCTTCCTGTTGGCATTTTTTAAATATGAAATTAAGTTTGTCTATGGATCTTACTTCTTATAAAAGAACTTTTAAAGGCAAGAGTGCTTTAAGTTCATAAACATATAGGGAAGGTTTAAAGCTGGTTTGCCCAAGTGATGTTACACAGTGACTTCATAAATAGAGACCTCTTGTTAGTTCCAGTGCCTATAAAACATACAGAGCATGCGTAAATCTGAGATAATGCAGGAATTTGTTCAGTACGACAGGGGTGTTTGTTTTTCCTCCTGCTTGGGAGTAGGTGCCACATATAATCTCAACACTTGTCTCTGAGCAGCAGTTGCAGCATGGTCAGGTCCCTTATCTTTTCTGCAGGAAAATATAGTAGTACCTGAGCAGTGAATACTTGAGTCTTTAAATGGTGCCTGTGGGGTGTGTGTGTGTCTATTCTCTCTGCATTCATTTCCATAGCAAGGAATCTCTCTCTATAAAGATCAGATTATAACTGGGTTTGTTTTGTTTGCTTTGTTGGGGGAGGGGGGGCAGGTAATCTCTGAAGTCTCCTGGGATAGTGAGAATCCAGAATTACAGATTAAAACAACAAAAAAGTAAGCAAAGAGCAGGTTCTGCTTGATGCTGTAACATTTGAGAAAAAAGAATTTGAACCTAAAAAAAAAAAGAAATGTATTTTCACTTGTCATTAGTGATGTCACCTTTTTTATTTCTAGTATGCAGAAGTCTTTGTTTGGTGCTGCTTGTAATGAAGTCCTGTATGTAAAGCAAGCTGAAAATAATATAAAGAGTGAAGGTGGGATGGCGGGAGGTGGCAGAGCGGTCTTACGTTTTACACAGGAGCAACAGCAGCTGTTGTGGGAGCTCCTCTGAGACCAGCCAGTTCCCGCTCGGACTGCAGCTGATAGAGGTGCTCACAGCACACTTCTCGCAATTTCCATCCATCCTATTTTCCTGTCGTGCCGCTCCTCACGCTGCAGCCAACTTCCTTGTACTCAGTGAAGTCAGATTTCTAGACCCAAATATCAGACCCTGGGGCGTAGTGCAGGACCATTTATTTCCAGCAAATGAAACTCTCCATCGCCACCGGTTCTCTGGACCAGGCACTCCGCCCTGCCTGATGCTAGTGGAGCAGCCGCTGCCCCGGTCAGGTCAGTGCCTGGATGTGCTTTGTGCATGGGACCAGCGCCAGGCGCTATGATTTGGCAGTGGAGAGGACCACTGCTGTTCCCTTCAAAACGCAGGGGACGCTATTCTATGTATCCGGCGGGCCGCTCCAGCTGGCCCAGAGCGGGGCAGAGCCGCCACGCAGCGCGCTCACACCTCGACCTCATCACACGTCCCACGTGATACTACAGCCTCTGAGTGCCAGGACCCACGTGACACCCCCTGGTACCGCGCAGGCGCGCAGTGGTCACGTGAGCCCCCACCTATTCCAAGATGGCGGTCCCCTGCTCCGGAGTAAGGTCGCGGAGCCGGAAGCAGCCGACGCGGAAGCGAAACCGGGTACGCGGCGGCCAGAGTCCGCGGCGCGGTTGCGGGCACGAAGTTGCGGAGCGCGGTGGGGGCCGCCCTGGGCCTGACGCTGCTACTGAGCCCCGTGCGCGCCCTTGAGCCCGTCAGCACGGGGCTGGTGCTGGCTGGGGCCGCGGCAGTCGCGAGCTACATCTGTTACCGGCCCCTCCACTGACGCTTCGGCGAGTGCTGCGGGCGGGGACGTCGGGACAGGTGCGCGGGGTGGTCCCGTGAGGGAGGGGCCGCCCCGGGAGAGGCGCCGGGCTGCAGGAGGGCCGGCTTTGCCCTCTGTAGAGCGAGGCTGGAGCCCCCCCCATCCTCCCCTCACACCGCCCCTGCTTGGCTCGCTGCGCTCTGCCACCTTTCCCTCCAGCCCTGCACTGGCCTTACGTCCCCTGCCTGCTCCACAGCGGGGACTCCTGAGCGGGGGTGGGGGCTACAGCCTCCCTAAAATTCTCTGTAGACCCCTTCCCAGTGATGCCATCCACCCCAAGCACAGCCCTGGCCCAGCCCCCCACTGGGGAGAGGCCTGCGCAGCCCCTGGTCCTCAGCCCACCCATGCACAAGTCTGGGAGGCATGTGCCTCCCGCAGGGGTGCATGCAGCTGCAGGGAGCTGACAACCACCCCACGTCCCCTGGATGAGCCACCCATGGCTCCATCCCACTCCCAGCCCTGGGGCCGCATCCACTGCCTTCGTTGAGCAGCCCCTGCCCCACTCCCTCCCTCACCATGGGTGCCTCTGTCTCCTACCCCCCACAGATTTACTGGCTGGACTTTGCTGTCCAAGCTCTCGGTCTGCATTCCTGTAAAAGGACTGTCTGACAATATGGCTGGTTAATAATCGTTCTTGGGGCACCCCTATTAGTAACAACTTACAAGGTAAAGAGTTAGGATGCCATCAGAAGTGTATGTTTACCAATCAAATGTAAAATATTACATATCAAGTACATAGCCCTAAAGAAAGACCTGCGGTTACGCTGGGATTATGGGGCAAAATCCTTTTTGGTTCATCCCAACCACGTGATGCTTCTGAATATGCTTGAGCAGGCTCATCTCAAAGCTCCAACCTCTTTCTTCTCCTTCCCCTCCTGCGGTGCTCTGGGCAGCAGGTTGCACGTGGAAGCAACAGCAGTTGTGGGGACATGTGCTGAGTACCACATGCCCAGCCAGATGCAGGGGGAACTGGAGCTGCAGCCTGGCGGCTCCTACCCCAGTGTGCAGGGCTCTAGCTCCTGGCCTTCTTCCAGCCACTTGGCCACCCAACATGATGAGTAAGCAGTAGTGGGAGGCTGAACGGAAGGAAGGCAGCCCCACTGGGAAGCTGTGTGCACTAGCTAGGGCCGAGGCCCCAGCAGTGTAGTTAGTGGGTGTAGGTTGCAGCAGCCAGGGCTCAACCCTATGCTGAGCATCTTGAGGGCAGTTACGGGGGTGGGGGGAAGCCGTGCCACACCTGCACTGCCCTGCCCTGACAGGCTGTTGCATGCACCCCCCTGCCTTGCCCCTCTCTTCCTTTCTCCCCCCCCGACCTCAGCTGGCTCCCAGGACCTAGCCCATGGGCAGCTCCCTACACCCCACCCCCGCAATATACAAGAGTAAGACTATTTTGAGCTGTTATACAGTCATTTGATATATTATGCAAAAACATAAATCAGGACAATAATTTTTTTAAATTAAATTTAAAATATGCTACATTAGTTGTTTGTTTTTTGTTTTTTTTTTAATTTATTTTTTTTTTAGCATCTTACAGGAAAAGCTGTGTTAACCAGCACTTTATTAGCCAGAAAATTCTATTAACCAGCATCCGAGGGACACGGCAAAAGCAAAACCGGAAGTACCACTTCCAGGGGACTTCCCATTTCACTGCTGCGAGCCAAGTTTTTCTTTGCCACTTCTTTGGCCCATTGCCCAGGGTAAAGCAGCCTGCGCAGGGCCCCCCTCCCTGCTGCCCGGCCCACTGATGCCGGGGAGTGCACCAGATGGCACACATTTGATTAACTGGCATCCCCGTTCCCAGGGGATGCTGGATAACAGCTCTTACTGTATTTGTTTTTCTCTATAACTTGTTAAAATGGTATCTTCTGAAAGATTTTGTATGTGCAGCCCTTGACAGCTCACCAAAACTGAGTAAGTGGTCCACCAGCTGAAATAACTGAATCTATGAATTGCCCCCACTCCTGGTATGGACTCTGTCACCCCCCTATCCCACCGTTGCCAAAGGCAGGGTGTGCATCAGTCCCAAGCCCTAGGCTCTTGTAAAGTAGGGAGGGGTTGTAGGTTTCATTGCTATCTGGGCAGTGCCGCCCCTAGGATCAGCCTATCCCACATGCAGGTTTAGTCTCCCCAGGCCACATCTCTTCATTAGGGAGGAAAGTTGCTTCTGTTCCAGCCAGCTCAGCCCTTTGACCCCTTGCCTTGAAGGGGTAAAGCCAGGTGTCCTTGGGTCTGTGTTAGGAAGGGGCTCTCTCTTCCCAAGCTCTGACTTTAAACCTGCTGTCTCCCTTTTTTTGTGGGAGCTGGTGTTTTCGTCACAGCCCTGCAGAAGGATTTCCAGAAGAAGCTGTTTGGCCAGCACCTCGTGCAGAAGGTGGTTGTGAAAGCAGTGACCAGCTTCCTGAACAATGCAGACCCCAAAAAGCCTCTCACCCTCTTGTTGCGTGGCTGGACAGGCACAGGCAAAAACTATGCCAGTAAAATCATTGCAGAGAACATTTACAAGGCAGGCTTGAACAGCAAATACGTCCATCAGTTTATGACCACTTTGCAGTTTCCACACAAAAGTGAAATTGAGCAATATACGGTAAGGGTACGTTGTGGAGAGGGTCACACTTGAGGATTGATTTTGAGGGATAGCCCTTTTGTCACTTTCTGAAGGGTTTAGAAGACAACTTTTATGCAATTTTACATGCTTCTCCAAAGGGAAAGTGTGAGACCTTTCATTTTCACTGTTGTATAAGATGATAGATTGAAACTGTTGGAGATAGCGGAAAGCATGCTCAAATAACAGCTACAAGGCATGACCAAAGCATGGAAGTGGGAGACTGGGATTTATTTCTCAACTGTAAGATAGGGGTAGCATCTCACAAGGAATGTTGGGGCTAGATGTACAAGATCATGAAGTGCTCAGGGGATCCAGTAATGGGGTCATAAAACTACCTGAGAGAGACAGTTCATGTGCAAGGGTCACAAAAATGGCAGGTCTTTGAGTTCTTGTCCTGACTTTGGCACTGACCCTTTTTTGGACAAGTCACCCTCCTCTATTTCTGTGAACTGTGGATGATGCTTTCCCATCTTTGAGTTATTTGATAAATATTTATATTATATTCTGAATGCCTAGACACTCATTGAAAATATTTCAAAGTGTTATGTCCTCAGAAAGCATATTTATGTTGAAGTCTCAGAGGAACAGACGGTCTGGCAGGCCATTTACAGAGCTAGAAGTCTACCTGCCTCAGAGATGTCGTCTTGTAAGGCTTGCTCTTGTTCTCCCTGGCAGC